ACCCTAAACCCTAAACCCTAAACCCTAAACCCTAAACCCTAAACCCTAAACCCTAAACCCTAAACCCTAAACCCTAAACCCCGATCCCACGGAGGTTCAAGCGCCTCTGGGGCTTCCTCCTGGGTCCCAGCGCCTTCGCCGACGCACGCCACCCATGGGCCTGGCGCCCTCAGAAGAAAAGGGTTGAGGGTTGAGAGTTTAGGGCTTAGGGTTTAGGGCTTGGGGCTTAGGGTTTAAGGCTTGGGTCTTCGGGAGTTTAGGGATTTCGGCTTGGTGGTCCGGTACCCTTTCCCCTTTGCGGTGCTCAAAGTTCTCTTAAAACGTAGCCAGTTCAAAAAGGGGGTGGCCATGTTGCAATATCTAGCAAGCAGGGCTGGCAGTTCAGGGAGTTCAGGGCTTAGCCTTTGGGGAGCTTAGGGTTTCGGAGGTTCAGGGTTTAGGGTTTAGGGCTTAGGTCTTAGGGTTTCCGGTTTAGGGTAGAGGCTTTACGGTTGAGGATTTCGGGCATTGGGGTTTCTGGAATTTCTGGAGTTTGGGGCTCTTAGAGGATTTCGCGCTGGACCTGAGTCAGAGCACCTGCGGCGAGCAGATTCGACCTGTACCCCTAGCAGGGTGACAACGAGACGCCAAGAGCCTATTGATTGAGAAGAGGGTTTCTAGGATGATGTTAAGAGCAAGATGGCGAAGCTTTTGTGGCACAAAGCCCCAAACACTAAACCCTCACCCTCCCGGGCTATGCTGAGAACAGTGTTGCAATTTCTTTGTTGAGAACAGGGGGAAGGTTCTTTTGCGAAGAGGACTTCGAGCGTTGTCTAGGGCCTCATGGTTAGCCGCCAAGGCTTATGTGCTTATGTGCTTGGATGCATCTCAAGACAACGATCTGCGTAAACCGACGCATCTCAAAGCACAACCCTAAAACCTAAACCCTATACCCAAAAACCCTGAACCCTAAACCCTAAACCGAAGCATCTCGAAGTGAAGATCTGCGTATGTAAACCGTGCAATCGCGCCCAGAGAAGGGAGACATCCGCATTCGCGCGTCTAACCTGGTCAAACCAAGGGAGAAAGGGTTCAGGGTTCAGCTTTTGTTCAGAGGCCTTGGGGTTTTAGGCAGGGTTTGTCGGGGTTCAGTTCTTGTTTGGCCGGTGTGGGGGTTAGGGCTTCGGGCTTGGGGCTTAGGGTTTAGGGTTTAGGGCGGTTTAGGGTCTAGCGTTTAGGGTTTAGGGTCCCCAGGGGGCCACGATTGAGGCGCACCCGGGGATCCTTCTTGAGCTCCTGAGGTTATAGGGTTCTTAAAGGAGGGGTTCATGTGGGGTTTAGGGTCTTTGGTCTAGGGTTTAGGGAACCTTCGGGAAGCTTAGGGAGCCTTGGGGAGTATTGGGGACGATGAGGGAAGCTTGGATTGCCTACCCCTTGAACCCGCCTCCCTTAACAACCCCTACAGTCAGGTTGTGGCCGTCGCCCTTCGATGCATGGACTCACAATGCTCCAAGCCGGGTTTCCGAGCACCTTCAACCCGGATTGAGGGTTTAAGGGTTTGGGGTTTGGGGCTTAGGGTCTGGGGTTTAGGGTCTGGGGTTTAGGGTTTGGGTGCAGGGTATGGGGTTTGGGGTTTGGTTCAGGGTTTAGCACTTTTTGTGGCTTAGGGTTTGCGGTTTAGGGTTGGGGTTTAAGGATTGGGGTGTGGGACTGGTGCGGGCGTCCTGAGGTTTAGGGGATAGACAGGCTTTTCTGCGCTGGGTGGTTCTGGGCCCTAAAAACGCGGGACCCCTTGGATATATACCCTATAAATCCCAGGGCCCATACATCAGAACCTTTTAAAGAAGGTAAACCCTAAACCCTAAACCCTTCGAGGCCCAGGTCTCAGGGTTTGCAAGGCGTTGGGCTTGAGGGTTTAAAGGCGCTCTTGCGCACAGACCGGCCTGCCTTTTGGGGGTCTCAAAGCAGGTACTGGGTTCAGTGGACCCCAAGGTCAAACCCATAGTTCGAGTTCAGGGATTAGGTTCTTGAATAACTTATGTATCACCCTAAAGCCCTACAAGCGTCAAACCATACTAGGTTGGCTTTTTGGGATATTTGTGTTTTCCTTATATGGGTTATAAGGGACCGCGTATACAAAAATGTTTGAAACCCTAAACCCTAAACCCTAAACCCTAAACCCTAAACCCTAAACCCTAAACCCTGCCTCCACCCAAGGCGCCCTCTGAAACTTCGCGAATCCTCAGGTGGCGCTCGTCGCTGCCACCGCAGGCGTGGCTTTCCTCGGAGGCATGGCGCTGGGTTTAGGGTTTAGGGTTTAGGGTTTAGGGTTTAGGGTTTAGGGTTTAGGGTTTAGGGTTGGAAACCCTAAGCCCTAAGGCCGAAGGTGGTTTAGAGATAAGGTCTAGGTTTGGTGCAGAATCTGGGGCTTCGGCGTCTTCGGGCTGTGGACTTTGAGGGCTGAGAGCTTTGGGGGGTGCCGGGGACGGCTGAGCATGGAAAAGCGTCCGGATACGCTGCTGCGAGACTTTGCGCCTTCCCCCCAGTTGGGCCCTGGGATATGTCAACCCTAAAGCCTAAACCCTTTCTTTTTGTTGTTTATGCTGTTGTTTTTGTTTTTTTTTTGGGGGGGGGCTTTTTCAGAGGTTGTCACTCCTTGCGAGTGGTCTTGGGGCTTACGTGTTTGCAACCCTAAATCCTAAACCCCATGCACTCTTATGTAATAAAGCACTGTGTGCCCTAAACCCTTAGCCCTAAACCCGAACCCTACATCAGCAGTTGTAACCCTAAACCCTAATCCCTACATCAGTGGTTGCAACCCTCAACCCTGTGCACTATTATGTAATAAAGCATGTTACGCCCTGGACCCTAACCCCGAAACCCTAAGCCCTACATCATTTGAAAGGGAATGCGTGTGGGCACAACTTGTCGTAGCTTCCAAAGCCGGCCCAAAGCTAAACGAGCCTTCAGAGACGCTGCCAGTATCTGCATGCATTCGACGTGGTTCAGGGTTTAGGGTTTAGGGTTTAGGGTTTAGGGTTTAGGAGCCTTAAACCCTTAACCCCAAGTACCCGAGGAAGGCCGAACTCCCGCAAAAGCAAGACAGGTCACGGCCTCGGGGCTGCTGCGCGCAGTAGAGGTGCGAAGTTTTCGGGGTTCAGGGTTTGGGGTTTAGGGTTTAGGGTTAGGGTTTAGGGTTTAGTTTATGGTTTCGGGTTTAGGGTTTGGGATGTTCCCCCTAAACAGTCCTGAATGAGGATTCTAATCAGGGGTGAGGGGGGGGGGGGGGTACTATAATCCTTTTCAAGGACTGTTAGAAAAGGGGGTTAGTAGTTTTGGGATTTAGGGTTTTGGTTGAGGGTTTTGGTTGAGGGTTTTGGGGTTTGAGGGTTGAGAGTTTGGGGTTTAGGGTTTTAGGGTTTTGGGGTTTTGGGGTTTTGGGGTTTTGCGCTTTAGGGCTTAGGGTTTTCGGGTTGGGGGCTTCAAGGGAGTTCGGGTTGGGGGCTATAGGGGTTTTTAGGGTTTTTCGGGTTCGGGGCTTTCGGGTAGTATTGGGCCTTTAGGGCCGCTGCGAATGTCGCATTTCAGCATGTCGATAAACATCGCTATTTACAGTCTTTGGCGTGTGTCCGTCGTGACGAAAACCCTGTGCTTTGCAGCGTTTTTCGCTTCTTTTCGTGGATAGAGTAGAGTATTCATGTCCGCACGATGAGAACGTCCGTGTTGCCGCTGCGTGCCAATTCTTGAGACGCCCTCCTAGCAGAGGCGGATGGTTCTACGGGGTTTTGTACGTCATTCCACTCTCATTGAAACATCATCCTCTGTCACACCAAAGCCCAGACACCCCCCGCCTCAGTGAGCCAGGAGGCTATATCTTTAAGATCATGGGGCTTCTACAGTCTCTTAAAAACCCTAAGCCCTAAACCCTAAACCCTAAACCCTAAACCCTAAACCCTGTGGTGCCTGCAGGGGTCCCCAGCCCTTAAGCCTCAACCCTAGGGGCTTACCCCGAGACCCAACAACTCGTGGAGCTCCAGGAGCTAAACCCTCAACCCAAAGCCCTTGATCCCTAAACCCTAAACCCTAAACCCTAAACCCTAAACCCTGAACCCTGAACCCTGAACCCTGAATCCATGCCCAGTCGCCCAAAAGCAAGCCCTGAACCCTATATAGCCCCCACGGAGTTGTTAGAGGGGGCTTAGGGTTTAGGGTTTAGGGTTTAGGGTTTAGTGCCCGGTTTATGGTTATGGTACGGAAAGCCTCGTGTGTTGCAGGGTTTAGGTGGGTAGAGGTTTTGGGCTGTGCCCTAAACCCTAAACCCTAAACCCTAAGCCCTAAGCCCTAAACCCTAAACCCTAAACTCCTTGTGTTTGGGATTGAGGGTTTAGGGTTGAGAGCTTCGGGTTGAGCTTTTTTTGGGGGCCTTGCAGTGCAGGACTCCTTGAGTTTAGGGTTTAGGGTTTAGGGTTTGGGGCGTAGGGTTGGGTTCAGGGTTCAGGGTTTTGGGCTTAGGGTTTTGGGTTGAGGCTCTTGGTTTCGGGCTTTGCACCGCAGGATTCCTTGGGTTTGCGGTTGAGGGTCTATTGTTGGGGCCTTGAACTGCAGGACTCCCTTGGGTTTGGGGTTTAGGGTTTAGGGTTTGGAGAGTTTAGTTTAGGATTGAGGGTTTTGGGTGGAGGGTATGGGTTTGGGATTCGCAGGTGTCGTGCCTTAATTGCATCACCACTAGGCAGGGGATTCTTGATGAACAAAAGTCGTAGGATCTTTATGTGGTGAGTAAAACACAAGCGAACAAAATTTTGCAGGACCTTTAAGTGGGGAATGTGGTGAGTAAAACGCAAACCCACGTAAGGATCCACAAAAAAAAGCATGAAGGTGACCGGCCTCTAGGTGAAAGAGCTGGCAGGGATTTAAAAATAGAGTCCCGAGTAAGGATTCGGGTTTTCCAGCGCAGCGCTCTGGTGCCCTAAGATACGGCCGCTCCATAAGACTTTAGATTCTCTAGACTGCTGCCTCTGTCCATGGCCAACGCGGCGCTCATCTCCTACTGCGATCCTTGGCCCTGGTTTAGGGTTGCATGCCGCAGCGTTGGAGGGTGCAGGATTTGTGATCAGGCATCAGGGAGCAGTCCACTGTGGCCTCATCATGGCACTCGATCTCAGCCCTCGCACTTTGGTGAGTTTTTTTTTACACGTCGATGCTAGCGGAGAATGGACCGCCTCGCCACGACACTCCTCGTTCAGCGTCTTGCAAGACATGGTGCGCTGGACAGCTGGCATCTTTGTGGTACTTTACTGTAACTTTAGATCCTTACCTTTTTTGGGTTTATTGGGTTTCTTAGTAAGGCAGCTAAAAGTTTAATTTATAGCTACCCTCCTGAGTGCAGCCAAGGCATTGGCGTCAACTTTATGTGATGTATTAAACCACCACCCCCCTAATGTTAAATATTCCCCACACACTATGAATATAACTCTACATGGGGTTGGGGGGGACGGGAGGGTTGGGGTTAATACCCTGAACCCTAAACCCAAACCCTAAAACCCTGAACCCTAAACCCCAAACCCTCCGGATCCTTAACAGAAGCCCTTGTGGAGGCCCTCTTGCTGTCAGACCGCTTGGAGCATGAGATTACGTTGGCACCGCTGGCCGTCAAGGACTGCCCCCGGATTATATATGGAGGGTTCTCTAAACTAAGGGTTCTTGTGGACCCGAAACCCTAAGCCCTAAGCCCTAAACCCTAAGCCGTAAACCCTAAACCCTAAACCCTTAGCCCTAAGCCCCAAACGTTTAGGGTTTAGGGTAGTTCTCTGAAGTCCCTTTGTGGGTTCCATCGTGGAAGGGTGCTGTGCTATGCTGCTATATACGGGGACCACAGAAAACGGGGCCCTAATTTAGAGAACTGCCCCAGATTTACGTCTATTGTATTTTATTTTTAAACATGGAACGATTTAGGGTTTAGGGTAAGCAGTTGCCTGGCGTAGAACCATACTGGGGCACTGGAGGGGCCTATAGGCGGGCAAAAAGTACAGACATAATTGGGTAACCCGAAACCCTAAAACCTAAACCCTAAACCCTAAACCTCCAAATAGAAATTTCTTAAACCCTGTGGAGGCCATGTAAGCTTGCTGGGCCAGAGGCCTCTCCGGATTTAGACGGGTTTAGGGTTTCTGGTTTAGGGTTTCGGGCTTAGGGTTTTGGGTATAGGCAGGTTGGACCATAAAACCCTAAAGCCTGAAGCCCTAGCTGAGGGAGTTTGCATGGACGGCCGGGGGTTTAGGCCTACACCCAGTCGTATGCCCCCCCAAAAAATACGGCAACCTTCATTATCAGAACCACAAAAAATCGGGCATCCATTTCCTTCATGAATTATGCTCAAATTGGAAGCTCTGCAGTAAGGGCCCCCCTTCATAAAGTCAGCTTTGCCTGAACCCTGGCGGCAGGCACTGCGCAGTCTGGCGCTCCTGCTGCTGCAGGAGCCCTCCCTGGTGAGCGAGGAGCGGTTCAGGGTTTAGGGTGTAGGGTTTAGGGTTTAGGGTTTAGGGTTTAGGGAGTCATCTGAGTCGCTGCTTTGAGTTTAGGCTCGAAGGAGTTGGGAGGTTGGGGATTGGGATTGTCCAGCTTCTTTCTGGTGTGGAGTTTAGGGCTTTGGGGCTTTTGGGGTTGAAAAGCCACAAGCATAGGGACGGTTTGTTCAGCATTTGAAACTTAATTTCTAATTCTATGACGGAGGTGACGGACAAGTTTCACGCACAGCAACACATGTTGACGAAGAGCTCGGCGCAGCTTCGAAGTCATGGCCAGAAACTCGAAGACTTGAGAACTGCCGCTGCTTTGCGTGCAGATGTCATGGAGGAGCAAAAGCGGCCATCTCGCAGCAAGCGCCGAAGCTCTCAGGCACAGCTTGATCTTGCGAGATCTTCCACAGCAGAGTTGACGGACAAGTTTCAAGTGACCCGGAATCCAAGACCCTCAGCAATAAGCCCAAAACCAAAACCCTGACATACTAAAACGTGGGGGGTTTCATAGCTACTACTCTGATCATGTGTACACAATATACAACAGCCATATACTGAGTACAACTTTGCCTGACCAAAACTCGGAACCCGAAACCCTAAACCCTAAACCCCCTAAATCCCTAAACCCCCTAGATCCCTAGATCCCTAACACCCCTAAACCCCCTTAAACCCCTTAACCCCAAGATCCCTAAACCCCTTAAACCCCTAAACCCCTAAATCCCTAAACCCCTACATCCCTAAACCCCTAAACCCCTTAAAACACCCGAAACCCTAAACCCCGAAACCCCTTAAACCCTAAACCCCTAAACCCCCTTAAACCCCTTAAACCCTAATCCCCTAAACCCCTAAATCCCTAAACCCCTTAAACCCCTAAACCCCTAAAACCCCCGAAACCCCTTAAACCCCTAAACCCTAAACCCTAAACCCTAAAGACACCGGAAGGATGCTGTCAAAGAGGCGGAGATGGAGCCCGAAGAGGAGCAGGCACGGGGTAGCGCATGATGGCTGGCAGGGCTGCGGTCTTGGACTAAACCCTAAACCCTAAACCCTAAACCCTAAACCCTACACCCCAAACCCCAAACCCTAAACCCTAAACCCTAAACCCTAAACCCCTGCAAGCTCCAAGAGTCTTGGTGTCAGAAAGCCAGGGGAGAGCCCGAGCCCAGAGAATCCTAGAAGCGAGGGCCGACCCAGCTCCTTCTAAAAGACTTGGTCGCCCTGTGGTGCCCTTTTTGCCCCCTTTTTGGGTTTAGGGTTTAGGGTTTAGGGTTTAGGGTTTAGGGTTTAGGGTTTAGGGTTTAGGGTTTAGGTTTAGGGTTTAGGGTTTAGGGTTTAGGGTTTAGGGTTTAGGGTTTAGGGTTCATTTAACAAGTAACCAAACCCCAAAAAGGGCAGCCTTATTCTTAGATGGTTACTGGTTTAGGGTTTAGGGTTTAGGGGCTCCATTCCGAAACTCGGCCCCAAAGAAATGCTGGGCCCACGGCCCACGGTGCCTCGCTTTGGTAAGCTTGGGGTACCCACTCCTAGCGTCAGGTACCCGAAACCCCAAACCCTAAACCCCGAACCCTAAATTTAGGGTGTGGGGGCAGGCGTTTTGGCCCACGGAATCAGCCCAAGAAGGCAGCAAAAGGGTGGAAAGGGAGGGTAATCTGTTGTGGGCGTATGTGTTTTGCGCTTGTGGTCTGTGGTTCTTCAATTTAGGGTTTAGGGTTTAGGGTTTAGGGTTTAGGGTATAGCTGCGTGCCATCATGCCCCTTACGATTGAGGTGAGCCTGCTGAGCGGCAGGGCAGTCTCACTAGAAGCAGAAGCGGATGAGTCTGTCGATACCTTCAAAAGCAGAGCGCAGAAAGCTCTGGCAGTTGGCAGGGGCAGAGTTTTAGACTCCTCCGGAAGCGTTCTGGACGGAGGAGCCACGCTTGAGGAATCTAGATTGCAGAGCGGCGACACGGTGACCTTGCAGATGAGCAGGGTTCACGTGCGCAGTAACCGTTTTGCTTTTGCTGCGATCCTCGGCGATGGATCTGTTGTGACCCATGGCCATGCCAGCTTCGGTGGCAACAGCATTGCTGCACAACGTCAGCTGAAGGACGTGCAGCAGATCCAAGCTACCAGCTATGCTTTTGCTGCCGTTCTGCGTGATGGATCCGTTGTGACCTGGGGCGATGCTGGCGGTGGTGGCGGCAGCACCGCTGTGCAAAGTCAGCTCAAGGGTGTGTGTCAGATCCAAGCTTCTGAAGAGGCTTTTGCTGCCATTCTGGGCGATGGGTCTGTCGTGACATGGGGCAACCCGGGCTTTGGCGCGCGCAGCAGGCCCGTGCAGGATCAGCTCAAGGACGTGCAGCAAATCCAAGCGACGGCTGCAGCTTTTGCTGCCATTCTGGGCGACGGGTCCGTTGTGGCTTGGGGCGATGCGGACTATGGCGGTGACAGCAGTGTCGTGCAAGGTCAGCTGAAAGATGTACGGCAGATCCAAGCGACCCGCTCAGCTTTTGCGGCTATTCTGGGCGATGGCTCTGTTGTGACCTGGGGCTGTGCTCATCACGGTGGTAACAGCAGGAATGTGCAAGATCAGTTGAGGGACGTGCAGCAGATCCAAGCTACCACCGGGGCCTTTGCTGCGATTTTGGGTGATGGCTCTGTCGTGACCTGGGGTGAGTTTTACACTGGGGGCAACAGCAGAGTTGCACAACATCGCCTGAGGGATGTCCAGCATATCCAAGCTACAAGCGTGGCTTTTGCTGCCATTCTGCACGATGGGTCGGTTGCGACCTGGGGCGATGCTGCCGGTGGTGGCGACAGCACTGCCGTGCAGGATCAACTGAAGGATGTTCAGCACATCCAAGCTGCCAGCCGGGCGTTTGCCGCCATTCTGGGTGATGGATCTGTTGTGACCTGGGGCCATGCGGAAGATGGTGGTGACAGCAGCGATGTGCAACCTCAGCTAAAGGACGTGTGGCAGATCCAAGCATCATATCACGCCTTCGCTGCCATTCTGGGCGATGGGTCCGTTGTGACCTGGGGTGATGCTGACTGTGGTGGCAAGAGCAGTGATTTTCAATCTCGGCTCAAGGACGTGCAGCAGATCCAAGCTACCGGGCATGCTTTTGCTGCCATTCTGGGAAATGGGGGTGTTTGCTCTGACCTGGGGGAGTCGGGGCAGTGCTTACGGTGGTGGTTTCACATGTACAATGTAGAAACATCAGCTGGGCTTGGAAAAAAAAACAGACGCTGTGGCACTGGAAGAGCGGGCGGCCTCGAAATGAACGGCTCCTAGTAAAGCAAGGTTTTCGTGTGGACACAAGGACAGCTGGATGCGATGCGGGATGTGCATTCTTCCTCGTAAGAACGTTAAGGAATGAAAGCAAACGACAAGGTTCGCTATGGGGTTATTGCAAGTCGCAGCGACGTTTCCACGCCAGAACCCCATTTTGTCGATTCATCACTGGCAAGAGTGTTTCCTACTCTCTTGTCATCCTAAAACCCCGAGGGAGGAGCCTCAGGTAGCTGCCCAATAACTCTCAGTACATTAGGGTTTAGGGTTTCAGGTTTAGGGTTCAGGGTTCAGGGTCCCTACTTGGAGGCCCTTGTGACTTCGTAAGTAGGGCTAAATGGGCAGTGGGTTGTGGGGATGATTAGAGGGTTTCTCGAAAACACTACGTCAAAAGATTCCCTCTAGTCAAGGAAACTCCCTGAAACTCCGATAGGTTTCTGCAACCCTGGCTCCGGCGAGCGTGTGAGGGATGCTCCCCACAGATCTGGTATTTAGGGGTTTAGGGTTTAGGGTTTAGGGTTCAGGGTGTATTCACAGGCTTGTGGGTTTAGGGTTTATATGGCATAGGGCTGAGACGTTGTAAGCCCGATGAAGCGAGTTCCTCATCCGGTTCGTCTACAGATTTTAGGTTTCGGGGGGTTTCAGGGCTTAAGGCGTTTAGGGCTTGGGACCTCGAAAGAACCTGAGCCCCTGTAAACCCCAAGCCTCAAACCCCAAACCCTAAACCCCCTCAACCCTAAACCCCAAACTAACCCTAACCCGAAACCCTAAACCCGAAACCCTAAACCCTAAACCCCAGAGCCCCTGCACGAAGAGGAGGATGCCGGGGATTCCCTCGGCGCCGACACTGCCGTGGCGGAGGCGAAGAACGCCGAGGTGCGGGCCTGAAGCTCACAGAGTGTCTTGGGTTTAGGGGTTTAGGGGTTTAGGGGTTTAGGGGTTTAGGGGTTTAGGGGTTTAGGGGTTTAGGGGTTTAGGGGTTTAGGGGTTTAGGGGTTTAGGGGTTTAGGGGTTTAGGGGTTTAGGGGTTTAGGGGTTTAGGGGTTTAGGGGTTTAGGGGTTTAGGGGTTTAGGGGTTTAGGGGTTAGGGGTTTTAGGGGTTTAGGGTTAGGGGTTTAGGGTTTAGGGGTTTAGGGGTTTAGGGTTTAGGGTTTAGGGTTTAGGGTTCAGGGTTTGGGGTTTGGGGTTTAGGGTTTAGGGGTCTAGAACTTTCGGGCCAGGGGTTTTTTTTTATAAAAGGTGTGGCTCGGGCCTCCTTTTTTAAAAGGTGTGGCTCGCCCCCCCCCCCCCCCCCCCCCGCTACTGGTCCCCTTGGTCCTCTGGTCCCCTGGTCCCGTGGTCCCCTTGGTCCTGTCGTCTGGTCCCGTGGTCCGGTCCTCTGCTCCCCTGGTCCCGTTGTTCCCCTGGTCCCGCAGTCCTCTGGTCCCCTGGTCCCGTGGTCCCCTTGGTCCTGTCGTCTCGTGGTCCCGTGGTCCTCTGGTTCTGCGGTCCTCTCGTCCTGTGGTCTCGCGATCCCTGATCTTGATTTATGATATAATACATCATATATTGTAAAATATATAGTTTGCAATGTGTGATATATGTATATATATATATATATTATAATATACATATATACATGTATATTAAATAAATAAATAAAAAATAAATAAATAAATAAATATATATATATATATATATATATATTACATTACATATTTTTTATATATATATATATATATTATAACATACAGTACATAGCATATAGTATAAAATGGGGGGGCTGCGCCCCCCCCCCCCAACCCCCCCGCTTTCAAAGCCGCGCAAGCTTGTTCCAAAGCATATGAACCTTTCATGCAGGCATTGAATTTGCAAATGGGGGGGGCTGCGCCCCCCCCAACCCCCCCGCTTTTTTGAGCCGTGCAAGCTTGCTTCAAAGCATATGAATCTTGAAACCTACATGCAAGCATTGAGTTTGCAAGTGGGGGGGGCTGCGCCCCCCCCAACCCCCCGCTTTTTTAAGCCGTGCAAGCGCATATGAGTCTTTTTGAAACCCATCATGCAAGCATTGAGTTTGCAAATGGGGGGGGGCTGCGCCCCCCCCAACCCCCCGCTTTTATAAGCCGTGCAAGCTTGCTTCAAAGCATATGAATCTTGAAACCTACATGCAAGCATTGAGTTTGCAAATGGGGGGGGGGCTGCGCCCCCCCAACCCCCCCACTTTTTTAAGCCGTGCAAGCTTGCTTCAAAGCATATGAATCTTGAAACCCATCATGCAAGCATTGAGTTTGCAAATGGGGGGGGCTGCGCCCCCCCCAACCCCCCCGCTTTTTTAAGCCGTGCAAGCTTGCTTCAAAGCATATGAATCTTGAAACCTACATGCAAGCATTGAGTTTGCAAATGGGGGGGGCTGCGCCCCCCCCAACCCCCCCGCTTTTTTAAGCCGTGCAAGCTTGCTTCAAAGCATATGAATCTTTTTGAAACCCATCATGCAAGCATTGAGTTTGCAAATGGGGGGGCCCCCCCAACCCCCCCGCTTTTTTAAGCCGTGCAAGCTTGCTTCAAAGCATATGAATGTTGAAACCTACATGCAAGCATTGAGTTTGCAAATGGGGGGGGCTGCGCCCCCCCCAACCTCCCCGCTTTTTTGAGCCGTGCAAGCTTGCTTCAAAGCATATGAATCTTGAAACCTACATGCAAGCATTGAGTTTGCAAATCGGGGGGGCTGCGCCCCCCCCCCCCCAACACACCCGCTTTTTAAAGCCGTGCAAGCATGTTTCAAAGCATATGAATCTTTTTGAAACCCATCGTGCAAGCATACATATAATCATTTACACACATATATACATATGTACATATAAACATATATACATATATACATATGCACATATATATACAAAAAATATATACATATATACATATATGCATATATACATATATACATATATACATA